AGAGAGAGAGAGAGAGAGAGAGAGAGAGAGAGAGAGAGAGAGAGAGTGGCGAACTGCGGCAGCACAGTCCGAGCAGCCATGTCCAAATCTCAAGCAAGCAAACTCATAGATGACAACGTGACATAGCCAGTTTGTTTGCATGAAAAAGCACATGTAAACTGCATACAGAGCAACACGTGGGTCCCTCGACCGGTTTCGCCTGTCCACACAGGCATCGTCAGGAGGGTGGTTCAGCAGAACCTTCGTGCTCGAAAAGGAAGCTTATGCCTTGCTTCCCCGATTAAATAGTATCCCAGTGCCAATCTCATGCCTACTTCCGACGTAGTCGCACACAGACGAAAAAACTGAAAAGCACGATATCGAAAAATAGTTGCAAAATCCCCGGCGACCAAGACTAGTCTCTCGACAAAGGCCCGCTCTTCCTTCCCATCGAGCGTGCAAGTACCCAGCCGCGGGAGCAGGTGTGATCCATTTTTGCCTGCTGCCCCTTCCCAGGGCACCTTCTCAGCCGGTCAAGACTCGGTAACGTCCCCCCGACACTCGGGAAGGTTCACCGCCGGCAGTGAACCGTCACGGGCGAACGACGGGTCGTACCGATCGTCGGTCGTTACCTCAAAATTTTTACGCTACCCAAAGGGCCTGCCTTATCCTACTCAAAATCGCAGTCCTACTCCGATCCCCTAGTCACAACCCTCCCCTCGACCAAAAACGGCTACCTTTCGACGAACGATCAACTAGTGTCAAGCCGAGAATGAAAAACGAAAGGTATAAATGCAGAAAAACAGCAGAAAAGAGGTCGTACATCCTCGGTCTGTCAGATGAGCCCCCCCTGGACCCCTCTGCTCTCCTTTACCCAATACCTCCGACCACTGCCCCCTACGGCCTTTGCAGTAAAGGACAGAGCAGCATGCAGGTTATGTAGTGCTCTATTCGGCACAACCCTGGCCAAAATGGCCAAGGCACCGAGAGAGACCTCCGGGGGGTAACCCCGGAGGTCTGCCTCGCAGATCGCGAAAGCCAGGGCTCCCCGGACTAGTTCCTTGCTCGTAGTCTGGTTCCACAGTCTACGGATTGTGGCGGAAAGCACACCCTTCTTCACGCATTTAGCCGAGTAGGACTCATAGTCCTGCATGGTCTGAAAAAGTAACTCCCCTCGTACGTGGAGAGCTTCGGTGTTCTTGGTACAGGGTACGTAATGAAGAGTCGGCGGTGGACCACTGATGAACATCTGGCCACCCACGAAGGGCCACGTGAGCCCGCATTCGTCCTTTCTCACGATCTCCAAGTGAGAGTCGTAGATGTCCTCGAAAGCTTCAAAGAAACGGTTAGGCCAACGTGCGTCCCGGGGATCCAGCATATCGGCGATGATCGTAATGTCGTCCATCAGCCTCCAGCCACCTACCAACCTTCTATTCGATCCAAGTCCACTGACGAACTGCAGTTCCGCCATTGCGCAGGTCACGGAGGCGAGAACCGGGCTCGTAGACTTGCCCATCGGAATACCAAACACCTGTTTGACAATCTTCTCCTCACACCTCACAACTGCATGGTTCAAGTCGAATCTGATCACCTCCATTATCTTCCTGAGAGTGATACCCACGTACCCTTCCACCTTCTTCTTATCTCTGCTGCTGATGCATAGCTTGCCCCTCGTTGAAACTCGCACTTGCTTCCACCCGTCATTCTCGTATCTTCTCAGCAGCTGATGCACCGCTTGGATTACCGAACCGTGGGGAATCCTCGAGAACATTTCCTTAATGTCGTAGCACCTTCCGATTGCTTGGTTACAACCAGCTGCTCTCAATCTCTGCGTGGTTGCTTTGAGGCGTTCCGCGAGCTCGCCGACCGAGCTGAGGAAGAAGGTGCTGTTCGCGGGTAGGCGCGCCAGTAAACAGTGCAGTGCCCTCGCTGTTCTCCTCGTAGCCAGTCTGGTAGGATCTGCCGGAGCCGGTGCTATGGGTCTCCAGCGTGCCAAGTCCTTGTGTTTTGGTATCACGTACGCTGTACCCAGTCGACCGTCCGGTTTCCATTTGCCGATTGAATCCAAACCCCGCATGAGAAAATCTTCCCTGGTCTTCTTCAGGATAGTCACCTCGTCATCGACATTCCCGATCGTTACGTAGTTGGAATTCCAGACGAACGTCTTCCCGAAGCCGTGCCTGTACAAGACTGGGCAGAACACTGCAGTGTCCCCCTGGTTCCGGTCTACGGGAGTGAGAACCAGCCCCTCAATCCGGGAACCCCAGTCTCTGATCTGCTCGTCCGACCAAGCCGCGAAGTTGATTTCCCAGTTGGTGAACATGACTTCTGAAGTAATGGAAACAGTCGAGCTGCCCTTGAGATGCATCGTCGCTTCGCAGATTGCTCGTCTGATCGTGCTCACTTCACAAGCTTTTGCCGGTCTCGAGATATTCTTCGAATTTCTCAGGAAACAGGGAATGGCAAGCTCCGAGAATCTCGTCAGTACATGTCCCTCCTGCTTCGGTAGACTGAAACCTGTGCAAGGGCAAGGGTGTTCAACTACCGTCACGTACTCCTTTTGATTGTGCAGAAGTTCCCCTACATTGCGGTTCCTTTTCCAGACTATCCGAATTCTAGTTTTTATAAAATCCGAAGGTGCTTCTCGGACACCGAGCTACCCACCACAAGCTCAGTCAGTCTTCTAATCTCCACCTTCCTGATCCTGGAATCATATGGTAGCCTTACGTTGATTCTCTTCCGCACGCTTACTTTACACTTCCTAAAAATTATCCTATCCAGTTTCGTCCTAAGCCTGTGTTTCGTTTTCTTCTCAGTAAACAAACCCGCAGTCCTATAGAGGCCAATCAGCTTCCCGGTTGTCATGTTGAGGAGCTGTGAGTCAGGTCTCGGTCTGGGCAGAAGCGCTTCCAACAGCTTTTTGTTTCGCTCAGTGATCGTTTTTGCTCTAACGATCCGTACTACTGTGACGATACCCCCCAGCTGGAGCTTTGGCTTCGCATCTCGTAGGCTTATTACTTCGTTGCCAAGTCGAAGTAACGAATCCCCAAACCTGCGTCTAATCTTTCTCCAGCTACCATTCCAAGTCGTACCACCCTTGACTATGATCTCCAACCCCTCGCATCCTTGATRCTYCGACAACCAGACTAGTAGCGAAGTGATCTCCATACCTTGGTGAGTGATYGTAAGCAGGYTCTCCKTGCACACACTACCTGTCCTCCCTTTCCTCTCCCTTCTGCCCCGTCGTCTCCTGACTCTTCCCAKCTTCTCGCCTTTGCCTATCTCRCRYGTGTTCAGACCTGGGTTAAACTCARCAATCARAAACTTCTCGAATGCGTAATCGTCGAMACTGTTCGAATGYCGAATCGGGATCATTACATACCTATCCAACCCGAATTTGCGTAGCCAKCGGTACAAATGCGGTGCCCRACCTAGACTAYCACTCAGAGTGTTCCGACAGTGCTCTCTCCACCTCTGGATCAGTGGTCTAACAGTACAGCCTATATAAGCCTTCTTGGTCCACGGACCCACGATGGCGTACACCCCGCCTGATTCTTGACTCAGCAACTCCTTGACCTCGTGAGATCTATCTAGGAACTTCTCTAACCACCGGATCTGACCACGTGCGGCTAGTAGAATGGTGGTTGATGAGATTGCGCACTCGACCTTCCTACCTACTTCGTCGGTTATACCGCACTCCCTCAGAACGGTCCTCTGTTGGAGCCAATAACTTAGTTTGTCCCATAGTTTAGCATTCGTCAGAGTTAACCGTCAGTCGGAATCCTCAGCCGGCTGCACCGTTGCCGACTTTATGATCATGGGAGCTCTCCCCGGAGTAGGCTTTCCGCCAGCCTCCTTCCCCTTCGTGTACGTCTTCCGGGGTGATCCTGAAGCTTTCGTCTTTTCCCCGCCCTTCGATACCACTGGGGTTTCTTCAAACCCGTCGTAGGCCAACTGCACCTGGTGTCTTGCCAARATCTCTACCACCTCYRGTTTCGTAGTGTACTTAATCCCTTTCTGATCRCAGATACGCCTGAGTACRTCGGCTTTCTTAGCCGAGTAGATCTTATGAGCCGAGATACAATAATCTATAAGGCCCTTTTGTGAGCATCCCGYCGCTACGCCTTTGTAGCCCCCGGTCAGCGGTGTCTTYGGCTCACCCCGTCCCTCTTCCTCCSCCATCTGGAACCCGYCGYTGTCAGTYGCRTGCTGTCTTCCTGTGTCGCCCGGATCCGTCCTCCCCMGCCTGGAGCATTCACCTCGCTCGAATGTTCTGAGCGGTGTGTTCTCCGTTGTCTTMTTTGCCTTGTCCGCCATTTTCCTCTTGTATCTGCTCCTCGAGTAAGCCTTCTTCTTCTTCCCCCTTGGAGTCCGCATCACTTGAGAGTCTTCAGAATCCATAGTAGTTGCGCTGTCCAAAGAGTCTTCCTCCTTCGGATCCTCGGTGTCCGTCTCGTCGCTGGATTTATCCGTCCTCTTCTTCTTCGCCCTCCCCTTTCTGCGGCTCTTGCGTGTTTTCTGGGCCGTTCCCCTTTTCTTCTTCACAGATGTCTTCAGAGGACCACTCGCCTTCTCTGCCTCCTGGTTGTTCCTTCTCCATTCTTCCAAGAGCTCGGCACGTAGTTGTAACTTGAATTCTTCCGCCTTTCGGGCGAAGTCCAAGTTWCTCCTTAGTTCCTCCTCCTCCTTGGCTTTTCTCTCCTCCTCTAGCCTTCGTTTCTCCTTTGACTCCAGTCTTTCCTTACGCATTAAACGGAAGTGTTCCTTAATTTCTTCCAGCTCCGGATCACCGTGCGTGTTAGTGTCCCCACGTCCCCGCCGTGACCAGCAATCCCAGGCAATGTGCCCAGGTTTCCCACAGTTATAGCAAATGTTACCGTTCCCTCCCATCCCCGCTCTCCCACCTCCCCCTTGGTAGCCATTCCAATTGCCCGCGTTCTGGCCTGTACCGACGTTCGAGACCCCGTTATTCGTCGACAACTGCCCATTGTTCATGTATCCCGTACCGTCACCCGTAGGGCCGTTCGTAAGGAACATCCCGCCTGGAAACCCCGGTGACACCGTTTATCTGAGCGAAAACTTGGAACAAGTTAGAAAGAAGAAAGCAGGATAGCGAGGTCTCCCGCAGCAGAACCCGGAACGTGATGAGAAGATAAGGAGAGCAAGATAGCCAGATAGCTCACGGCGTGCACCCTTTTACTCCCGCCAGATATCTACGATCTCCCGATACCGAATTCTACGTCTCGTCCGAAGTGTCAATAGAGTAGTTTCAATCTTAATCAGTAAACTCATTAGTAAATCATAGAGCCCGGCGCGCAGCGTCTCGTTAGTCACGAACCCAATCATCAAATGCATGGGCTAGATAGTGTTCCTAACATAATCTTCGAGCGCTTCGATCAGTCGTGTCCTAACCGTAGCGCGTCTCCTGGTGTGACCTTCACAACCCCCACATCTCACGCAAGGAAGCGGCATCTCGTCAGAAGGCCGATCCTAACACTACAAAGCCTACCCCTATCAGCATGATACCGATCCCATATAAGATGCACGACAGTCTTCTCCTCATCATCTTAACCTACACTCGATCACCATCACTACTACGCCGTATACTGTGGTACCCAGACCACCGCCCACGCCGGATCTCCAAAGAGAGTTCGCGCTAGGCCGGAGGATACCTTCTCATCCCAGGTCTCAAAAAGAGTATCACGCCCGCGCCAGTCCAGAAGATACCTCATCAACTCCCGTCACCGGCTTCGAGCTCGCTTCTTCTAATATTGCTCCCACCTTGTATGTCGACGCAGCCACCGCGCAGCGCAAATCAACTGACGGTTACTACGTGCTAGAGAGTGGCGAATTGCGGCAGGACAGTCCGAGCAGCCATGTCCAAATCTCAAGCAAGCAAACTCATAGATGAGAACGTGACATAGCCAGTTCTGCAATAACCCGCTCAAATATGCCTATGTCGTTGACCAAGGGGGCCACCTGTAGGCCACGGATCGGCCTCAAGTCCCTGCGTCCGACCGTGGGCAACAAAGCCCCTGAAATGTGACTTCAGAGGCCCTGCACCCGACAGCTGACCGAAGTCAACTATAAATCGGAATATCGAGGTTCACGAGTCAAAGTCTTCACGGACCTAGTCCAGGCCACCGATCAGACACACACACTTGGTTGTGCACAGGTATCCAGGCAGCATTCAGTCCACGAGGAAGTCTGCAACTGTACGAGATCCAGACCGTCGGCTATGAGTCAATCTGAGCCTCCGTACGTGAGAGACCAGCGGCTGGTCAACGACGTCAACACTATTTATTGACCCAGCCCCTGGGAGTCAACATTCAGTCTTGCACTTGTTGCTTGACGCTGGCTTGACGCTCACAAGACGCTGGCACTGTGCGACGACGATGCGAGACTGCTGCTTTGCGTCTGGCGCCCTTCTGCTTCTGGGCACCAACTGTCTTTTTGGATGTTGTCTTTGGCATTGCTAACATGGCGCATGCCACACTGTCTTCAACGCAGATTGGGGATGCAACAAGGAGGGAGATCAGGATCTGTGGGATTGGTTGAGTGAGAGAGAGGAAACTTACCTGTTGATGCTGTCGACATTGCGCGCTGCAGAGACGTCTTCATGGGAGAACTGTGCCTACGTGGCAGTATGTTCTGATCAGATCTCGTCAGGCTCGTTTCTGGGACACTGTTTGCTAACGTGGATGTGAGGAGACGCCCAAAGAAGAAGTGGGGATTGAGGGAGTTCTATCTACGTGGTCATTGATGGATACTTTCTCTTCCACTCTTAAGTCTATTCTCCCTCTTATGTACTTCGTCCTTTGGTTACGAGACATTGTATTGCACATTACATTTCATGATTATTGGAGACATTTATCAGCGCAGTTATCTTGTGCTTCGACACTTGAGTTTCCTCCTAACTGGGTTCATTACAATTTGGTATCAGGGCTTACCTTCTTCGTCGCGATCTGCTGTTGGGCGCCTTGATGCGCCAAGGTAAGTATTGGGGG